TTCTCCCCAAACGACCTTGATGGGCTGAATGGCCCCCTCTCGTTTGTAAATTTCTTATGTTCTTATGTTCAAAGTGGCCAAAATAAGGGTTACTTTGACAAAACACTGAGTTTCAGTGGAATGACTTGGTGCCTATCCATAATGTATGATGGTAACGGATAAAAATCTATCAAGTCATTAATGTTAAGAGACTGCATTCTTGTACTCTGTTTTGTTACTGAGTGCAGGTGGTATTCAGTAAAATAGACCGATTTATGCATGTCCATCACAAAATACACAGCTGGATTATTTTGAATTAAGATAATGACAAGCTCTCCAAACTCCATGAACTCATCATTTTTTGAAACAAGATAGGCTACCACAAACCACAAGGACAATATCTTTAAGCTGAAGAGTTAACCGCCACACGTCATCTTGTGGATTTTGTAGTTTGTCAGCAATTAATACAGGCGGCAACCTCAAAAAATTCCAGTTTTGGGTGGCTAGACCCGAAGGTTTGGACACCTCAGAGTTGACAGTGCATGGCTTTGGGAGAGCATCAGATCCTTTGTATTTGAATTGCTTGATGTGCCGGTTCAAAAGTGAATTTGTAAGCCATTTCTTCTTCTTAATGAAATACTTCAAGTACAGTTCAACATCATAGGATAAGACGCCCTCAAATATGTTGTGACCAGTACTCGAGTTGAGGGGGGATGAGGAGGGATGTCATCCCCCCTGAAATAAAAAACAGTCAAAATCATCCCCCTTCTAAAACGAACATCCCCCCCTGTTTTTTTACCTCAGTAAACGGCATAGCAGGTGACGGTGTTGATGTGATTTTAACATCATGGACAAACGGCATGGACAGCTCGACCTGAGGGACTTCGGATTTAAAAAGGAAAAAAGCTGACGCTCCTCCTAGTTGAGGTCAAAAAGAAACTATAGGCGCGCGCGTCCTGCTTAAAGGCACCCAATTACCTCTGATTTAAATTCAAGCAGGGATTTTACAAGCAAGTATTCGTCGTTTAATCGGATTGGCATTTCCTACTTTGAAAACATACTCCGAGTATCTGACACGTAACATCCACACCATGCATGTTGTTTTAGGATAGTAAAATATATTATGTTTTTGCTTAAACAAAAATAAAAAGGGTACACAGTTGGTCTCCCACCATGTGCACTGTCATCAGCACAAAATATGTCTGATAAACGATAAAATCAGAGTCCCCTCTGATTTGTTTTTACAGCTCGACTACTGGTTGTGACCTAAACAAGGCAGGAGACCAGGCTGGCATACGTGAAAAGATTTCAAAGTATTGAAAAGAGTTTACCTTTATGCCTTTGATGTCTTGGTTGACTCCAGTTTGTAGATCACCAACAGCAGAATCGTAACTTTCAGGGTTGCGCTGTGGACCACAAACATTTGGATCATCACTCTGAAACTGTCTTCCATCTGATTGTTCATTCATCAGCTCTCCCCGAACTATCAGCAAAGGCGGAGGATTAGCAGTGGTGTTTAAATCCAGTTTTAAATGTCGAAAAATTGCATCAAACACCTATTAAAGCTCTGAATTTCAGCTATTAGAATTACATATAAAAATGTCCCTCTGTTCTGTGCCCAGAAACTGACAGGCTCAGCACGGCAGTCAACCAAAGGAACTGGCTGTCTGCAGATATTCTTAAACAATACATGAATGATTTTGGTCTTTGCGATGCCTGGCGTTCACATCACCCCACTTCCAGGGATTACACCTTCTTTTCACCAGTACACCACTCGCATTCTCGCTTAGATTATTTTTTAATTAGCAGCTCCATGATGAGGAACATCATAGAAACTCAGATACACTGTATCCTTATCAGTGATCACTCACCGGTGTCTATCTCTTTGGTTAAGGACAGAGACACACAACCAAGCAGGAACTGGAGATTCAATACATCTTTACTTAAAGAACAAGATTTGAAAAACTGAATGGGCAACGTATTCGGATAACAATTATCTATCAGAAATCTCACCATGTGTTATCTGGGAAGCAGAAAAGGCAGTAATGAGAGGAAAAATAATATCTTATTGTTCACATAAAAAAATTAAGAAAAAACACATGTAGCAGAATTAGAACAGAAAATTAAATCATTAGAAACAGCTTATGCTTCCTCACCGCAAAAGCATATAATTAGCAACTTGAGAAAACTAAAACTGGAATTTAATGAACTAAATGATGACGTAGGCCTGGACGATATGGCAAAAATTTATATCACGATATATTT